GGGGGGGGGGGGCCTGGCGCAGGAGGGTGAGCGGGCTCCGGCAGGCGGTGGCCAGCGCGGGGCGGCGGGACAGGCTGCTCTGGGTCGCAGAAGGGGCGGATGGGCACCGCGCGACGGGTCGGTGGGGGACGCTAGCAGGGGCAACAGAGGGGCCCCTAAGCCTGTGCTGGGCTTCTGCCACTGGGGCCGCCATCAGGATCCTGCGCTCCAACCACTTTTCGGAGGGACCTTTGACCTCGCCCTGTGGGGCGTTTGCCTCTGGGAGAAGGAAGGAGGGAGAAGCCGAGGCCCCGCAGAAAGTTCGCCAGCTTTGGGGGCCAAAGAAGGTTAAGTGGGAGGAGCCGGTTTAAAGCGAACTCGCAGCTGCGAAACCTTGGGGTGGCGTTCAAGGCCCCCGCCCACACGCGCGCGGAGCGGAGCGCCCTGCTCCTCCTTCAGCTGCTGGCGTCGCTCGCAGGGAGAAAGGGGGAGAACTGCAGAGCTGCGCGAGGAGGAGGCCGCGGCCACGCCGACCAGCGCGCCTAACCTGAGCGACCTGGCGGAGAAGGTAGCATAGGCGAGCAGGACCGGTGCGTCTACCCACGGCACGCACCCAAGCACGCACCCACAACCACCTCCAAAGGATCCTGCAGGAGTCTCTAAGGACTCTCATTAAGCTCCTGAGTCTCCCCTACCGCTCTCTTCCTAGCCCGGCGCCCCAGGCGGGGACCCCGGGATCAGACGTCCCCGTGCCTCCGGGCACCTGGCTCAGCAGGAGTCCCCCGGGTCCGGGCAGGGCAGGGCCGGCGGCGGCGAGCCGGAGCCCGCCCAGCGCCCAGGCCCCGCCGAGCCCTCAGAACCCACCCATGGAGCACCAGCTCCCCGTGCACCCTCGCCCGGCTGCGCCCGGCCCAGCGCCCCGCGCGGCGCAGAGGAGGAGCCGGGCGCAGTGACCGGGGAGTCGCCGCAGACCCTGGAAGACTCGGCGGCCGGAGAGGCAGGCTGTTCCCCGCACCTCCAGGCGCTTCCAGGCAGCCCTCCGAGCCGAGCCAGAGGCCGAGCCCGCCATTCCCAGGTAGGAGACGCCCGACAGAACTCGGGATCTAACGTGAGGTGGGGAAGCCGGGGCGGGAAAAGGTTCAAGGCTCGTTAGAGGAAGGCGAGGTGAAACCTTACATGACTAGCATAGTTAAACTGTTCGAACTCCTACTATGTGCCAGGACCGTACGGCAACTTTATATATCTAGAGAATATTAAATTAGTGAAGCACCAATTATGCGTCAGGCTGGGTGCTAGGCTCTTTACTTATCCCAGGTAAGGAGAACTGACCGATCTTCTACTCTGGGTTAGGTTTGGTGATAGGCGCTTCCGTTTAAGAGATCTGGAGTAATAGCACATTGAAATATGAGGAAACTGAGGCTCAGGGAGGAAGCAGCACTTACCTTCCCCAAGCACCTCACCCTCCTTCCTAGCCAGCTGACACCTGGCTGGGAGTTGGGGCTGAGATTTGGCCAGTTGGTGCCCCTACCCCCAGACCTGGTGAGGGCCTCTGGGGAGGGAAGATCAAGGAGCAGCTTCCTTGTCCAGAGGTCCTTGAGCTTTTCTTGAGTTGGTGCAAGGAGTGCTTTTCCTGGGCGATCCCCTCCCAGGATAGGTGTGCTGCACTCAGCACCTCTGAGGGGCTCTCTCTGTCCTCTCCTGCCTTTGCCCTGAGAGGATGCGGAAGGACGTGTCCAGGACCTCATGAGGGGGAGGAGGCTGGGCTGGGAGGGGCAGCCAGCTCAGGAGCCCATGATTCAGGCTTCAGGGAGACAAATGAGAACCCCTAAGACCTCTGCCTACACTCCAGTCCCACCGCACCTGGCTTCTCCAGGCAGCCCCTAGGCTGCTAAGAGGAAGCACCACAAAACGAGGAACCTGCTTCCTGTATGCCGAGAGCTATATCAGCCTCCTGGCTCCTCACTGGACTCTCAGGTTTGTTTCTACCATATCCCTTTGAGAGATGACCAACGCCACAGGCCAGACCATTTGTCCAAGGTTGCTGAGCTGGTGAGAGGCAGCGCTGGCTGCCAGCAGCTCGTGCCTGCCTGCTTTCTTCCATCCTGAGCCACCAAAGGTGGTGAAGCTGGCTTGCAAAGCCCCCAGTACTTGCCTTAGCGTGGGAATGAGGCCAGTGAGTCTGTGTGTGTCCAGGGAGGCCAGGATGTGCCCTAATGGAGTGTGTGGGAGGGCGGGGGCAGGGCGGTGCAGTGACACAAGCTCTGGGGTACTTATAGGGAGGAGGACACATCCACTCTCTTGTCCTGCTGTCCTTGCTCAACTGACCTCTCCAGGCCCTAGAGGAGGGTCTCCGAAGAGAAGGGGGCGAGTCCCCAGATGCATTCGCTGGGAGCTGCTGGGCAGGATTTGGGGGAGAGTCCCGGGCAGGGAGAGAGAGGATGAGAATACAGTAGGCTTTGGGGTCATTCCCCCTGCCTGACTCCAGTTGAGGCTTCACTGTGTCAGACACTGTCTTGAAAGGTACTGGTTTTGGCCTGGGGAGGTGGGTCTTCATAGAGATAAGAGCCCAGGCTTTGGAGCAAGCAGCCTGATTTTAATCCTGGTCTGGCCAGTCATCTGTGTGAACTGGGGCAAGTGACTCAGCCTCTCCGACCTCGTGTCCTGTCTGTCCAATGGTGGTCCCCTCTTCATGGGGCTGCTGTGAAGTCATTGGAAGAAGGCACACAAAGCTCCCAGCATGATGGAAGCCTGCCTGGCTGTGGCTACTGTTCCCCCATCCTGGTCCCCTCTACCTCATCTTTGCTCTGGGCTTTTCTGCCTCCCTGGTGCCCTTAGAATGGCCCTGGGGTGGGATCAGCAGAGAGTCAGAGAAATTGCATTCGGGTACTCATGCCGCTAATAATGGTCCCTCTTAACTTCTCTCTGGGCCTCCAGGGTGGGACTCTAAACTCTAAAAAGGGCCTTTGAACTCTAACCCCTGTCTGCTCCTCACCGTGTAGGATCAGTTTGGTCGATAGAGAAGAGCAGACAGTGGAGAGGAGAAGCTATGCCCACAACGCTGCCCACGGTGCCTCCTTTGGGGGAGGAATTGGGAAGAACTATGCAGGGGTGGGAAGCAGAGCCCACAGAGGTGCTGTCACCTGGCATCCAGGTGTCTGCAACCCCATGTGGCTGAGATGAAGACTCACAGAATTCTTAGAGAAGAAAGCCAGGTTTTTTTCCCCTTCTTTACCTCTCACTGACCCCCTGCCTCTACTCTCGGACCCCCTGCCTCCACTCTCAGACCCCCTGCCTCCTCTCTCTGACTTCCTTAGCCCGTTTAGTCACTGATATTAACATGTCTGTACCAGGAGCTCTGGGCTAGAGGCTGGGGCAGGCAGCGATATAGACAAACACCGTCCCTGGGGGGCTGCTGGCCTTCTTCCCTCTCTGTCTCTACAGAGGTGACCACCTGCAGAGTCAGGCTCCCTGCAGAGGGACTTGGAGAGGGGGTTGTCCCGATGCGGGGCCTCTTTTCCCTCATCCCTGCAGAAGGCCCAGGTTGGGAAGGGCTCACCGCTGTTGGTTTTGCATCCCCCCGCCCCCCGCCCCGGCTGCCCACTCACGAGTGTGCCCAGGGCACTGAGACCCGCCTCATCACAGCGAGCCAGGCACAGCGAGGCACAGGCACAGCCAGGCACAGCGAGAGTGGAGGGAGAAGACCCCAGAAGGAGGCTCTGAGTGAGCTCCAAAGGCAGAGCCATTCGCTTCATTCATTCATGGATCACTTATTGAGCACCTGCTGTGTAAATGGCACTGACACCCTGTGGGATAAATTGGAAGATGGCTTCAGGCATGACTTGGATGGGTAACGTGGAGGTCTCAGGCTTGGAGTCCCTGTCCTGGCTCCCTTATTAATTAAATGGGCCAGTCACGTAGCTTTTAAGCATCAGGGTCCTTATTTGTAAAGTGGGGAAGATAATAAGTATTGCTAGCAGGGAGGTGGTGAGACTTCATAGCCTGGGGCAGACTGCCTGGGGTCAAATCCCTCCTTTGCTGGGTAACCATGAGCAAGTTCCTAAACTTCTCTGTGCTTCAATTCCTTATCTGTAAATTGGGATAACTCCATCTACCTTCTGAGATTACTGAGGGAGGAAGTGGGTTATTACATGTTCAGCACTGAGAACACTCTGGCATGCATTAACTGCAAAATAAATGTCAGCTATTATTATTTTTCTATACTTAGTGCAGTGCTTGGCACATGGCAGGGGCCTGGTGAGCGGCGATTGTTGTGGCTCCAGGCCGGGGGTCAGCGGTGTGCTGGGCGGGCTTATTGTGTGCGTCTCTTTGCAATTCTTCCATTGAGATCATCTTGGTAACTTGGACTTGGCCATGGTGGCAGTATGTACACCGTGGAAATTGACAAACGCTACCAATAAGCGCTTTTTAAAAGAGTGTTTTTGGGAGTCGGTTGACTGCACAGCAACTCGGTTGGGCAGGTGGGTAGATGCTGGTGCCTGAGTGTCCTGAGCATGGCATTGCCGGGGGACTCGCATGCCGGAGCTCTCTGCCTCAGGTCTCTTGGCGTCGTGGCAGATGGAACATTATGATGTTGGAGAGAGCCTCAGGGTAAATGGATGAGGCACTCCAGACTAATCGCCGGGGACCAGTTGTAACTTGCATATACGGCCCTTTGTGCAAATAGAAAAAAGGTACCTTCCCCGAGCAGTTAAATCCACAAAGACAGCCCCCCACTTTCCCACCTAACCGGGTGCTTTGTGCAGTGCCCAACCTGCAGAAGCACGTGGGCAGCCTGGGGATCCATATTTCAGCAGGCCTGTGTCCATTTGTAGTTCCTCTTCTCTGGAGAGGGGAGGGATTCCT